AGAGCCTCCAATCATACAGTCCCCCATCACAGATCCTCCAATCACAAAGTCCCCAATTGTACAGTCCCCCATCACAGATCCTCCAGTCGCACAGTCCTCAGTCACAGAGCCTCCAATCGCTCAGTCCCCGATCACAGAGCCTCAAATCACACAGTCCACAATCATTAAAGCCTCCAATCACACAGTCCACAATCACAAAGCCTCCAATCACATAGTCCCCCATCACAGAGCCTCCACTCACACAGTCCCCATCACAGAGCCTCCAATCATGCAGTCCCCAATCACACAGTCCCCAATCCCAGAGGCTCCAATCGCACAGTCCACAATCACAGAGCCTCCAGTAGCACAGTTCCTGATCACAGAGCCTCCAATCACACAGTCCACAATAACAAAGCCTCCAATCACACAGTCCGCAATCACAGAGCCTCCAATCATGCCGTCCGCAATCACAGAGCCTCCAATCGCACAATCCTCAGTCACAGAGTCTCCAATTGCACAGTCCTCAGTCACAGAACTTCCATTCGCACAGCCCCCAATCACAGAGCCTCCAATCACACAGTCCCCCATCACAGAGCCTCCAATCACACACTCCACAATCACAAAGCCTCCAATCACACTGTCCCCTATCACAGAGCCTTCAATCATACAGTCCCCCATCACAGAGCCTCCAATCATGCAGTCCCCAATCCCAGAGCCTCCAATCGCACAGTCCCCAATAACAGAGCCTCCAATCGCACAGTTCCCTATCACATAGCCTCCAATCACACAGTCCACAATAACAAAGCCTCCAATCACACAGTCCACAACCACAAAGCCTCCAATCGCACAGTCTCCCATCACAGAGCCTCCATTCGCACAGTCCTCCATCTCAGAGCCTCCATTCACACAGTCCTCCATCTCAGAGCCTCCAATCACACAGCCCTCCATTACAGGGCCTCCAATCACACAGTCCACAATAACAAAGCCTCCAATCACACAGTCCACAATAACAAAGCCTCCAATCACACAGTCCACAATCACAAAGTCTCCAATCGCACAGTCCCCCCACCACAGAGCCTCCATTCGCACAGTCCTCCAATCACACAGCCCTCCATTACAGGGTCTCCAATCACGCAGTCCCTCATCACAGAGCCTCCAATTGCACAGTTCCCCATCACAGAGCCTCCAATCGCACAGTTCCCCATCACAGAGCCTCCAATCGCACAGTCCCCCATCACACAGTTCCTTCTTCACATCAGAGTCCCAATTTTGGCTCCAGCAACAAATCAGAGTATAGTAGGTGGAGAAGGCCATAGGTCAGCTTCATGCTTTGCCATGGTGCAGGCGGGCCTGCCGCTAACACCATAGCACTGTATGAAGCTGTGCATCCTGCCTCAGAGTGTCAATGGCTGGTATGGTGCTGATGACCAGCCCACCATCACCATGGCAACACATGGCATTATATGTGCAGCATGTGGGCATTAAAGCTCACCCTCCCTGCTACCACACATATGTAACACATAGTCAGCAGGAGGTTTAAGCTATTTGTACTGAGGGGATTCTTGTTTTTTGGCAGCTGACTTTCCATTTAGCATAAAATATTCACTTTAAGGGCCAGTTCACACTACAAGCATTTCAGTGTGTTTTTTGTTTCTGCATCCAAAATGCACAGAAAGTAGGTTATATAGTTGTCAATGTCATAGTTCATATCAGTGCTTGCCGTTTTTAGTGTGTTCCGGATGCAGAAAAAAAAAGGATAACAGGCTGCATTTTTCCTGCATAGAACTGTACTGGAACGCAGTAAAACACATAAAAAAACGCACCAGAACGCACCAAAAACAATTGAAACACACGTCCCTATTTAAATGGCAGAAAAAGTGAAGGGGGAAAAATTAACTGGAATGCATCAAAAACGCACCGATATGCACCAAATACACGTCAAAAGTGCGCATTCATAAACGCATCCGGTACACATCTGGATTGCGTTTCTATACTTTGAACCGGCACTAAAGAATATGTAAACCCAACATTTCATATTCCTGATATGTGCCTGCTGTACTTTGTACTTGTGTGAAAAAGTATCCTGTTCTCTTTCTATTGCTTACTTTGTGTAAAATCCCTGGTGTTCCTGTCAGTCCCTTTGATTTGCTATTAAAAACTGACCACACTAAGCAGGAGAGCACAGCATGGTCAGTTTTCTGACTATGTTGGGAACTAATCCAATGATCGGGTTTGTGCTGACTCGCCCACTCTGCACAGCTATTCACTGGGAAGATCATTGAGCTGCTCTGTCTCCTCCCCCAGCTCTTATGCAGCTGAGAACAGAGGGAATGTGGTCACTTATAAAAAAGGGGAAAAAGGTATTTTATAGTGGTGGTTTTTTTTATATCTATACACATATGTTTTGCTTTTCATCTGTATCAGTCGGCCTTTTGAACCTTTAACTGGTACTGAATATCCTCCCAGCTGGCTAAGAGAGACTTATTTAATATTACAGATATGTATATAGTGCCGACAGTTTATACAGCACTTTACATGCTATACATTCACATCAGTCCTTGGCTTCAAGTAGCTTATAAACGAAGAAATCTAGCTCACATATTTGCACACACATAATAGGGCCAGTGTGAACTGTCTTGGAAATTCACTTTCAATGAATTTTCCTTACCGTGAGTGCCCGCAGTTTGATGCGCAGCAATCCCCCATAAAGCTGTGCGAACTTCGCTGCAACCGTATTGCGCCCTCCGCTTACCGCGACTGCAGCTTAGCTCCACGATTCCTGCACCTCCAACCAGTGTGCAAAGGTTTAGCTCTTTTGAGATGTGGGGAAATGGAGCTCCAGTAATCCACTAATAAATCAGACGATACTCCCAGGTTAAAGTTGGAATCCACTCTGCCCGGGTCTAACCCTAGACTCCTGTTTTTATTATCTTACAAAACACACACCCCACACGGGGCCAAGTCAATCCCCTCCCACAGAGCAATGTATAGGGAGTGTCCATACACGAGAATGTCCATCCTGCTCGGAGTGCAAAGTTAACCTTAACCTATACTAAGAACCAATTAAACCAGTTTTTCTGTCCTCCCCCGTAAGCTCACTTTGGAGAGCAAGTTTCACATTATTTACATGCTATCAGCTCCCAGCAGTATGTACATTGTCTGTACAAAGCATCCCCTAGATTAACCTCTTGCCGACCGCGCATAGCCGAATGACGGCTTCACCGCGGCCGGCCAGTTCTGAGTGGACGTCATATGACGTCCTCCCAGAACGCGCTCTCCTGCGCGCCCCAGGGGGCGCGCACCCGGCGATCTCCGTGATCGCTGTGTCCTACGGACACAGCTGATCACGTGATGTGGTGAAAGGCCGATCCCACCGGCCTTTTTACCACGTGATCAGCGGTGTCCAATGACACGCTGATCACAGGGAAATGCAAGTGCCGGTTCTCGGCTGCACTTTCCTCACGCTGTCAGATCGTGAGGAAAGTACTGCCGAGAACCGGCAGTTGTCAGAGCGGGATCGGCACCGATCATCAGGGCACTGATGATCAGTGCCCTGATGATCGGTGCCCAGCAGTGACACCCGCAAGTTCCCGCCCAGCAGTGTGCCCCACTAGCCCCGCCCACCCGTTCCCAGCAGTGCCCCCACCTGTGCCCAGCAGTGCCCCCCTGTGCCCAGCAGTGCCCCCACCTGTGCCACTCTGCAGTGCCACCTACCTGTGCCCAGAAGTGCCACCCTACATGTGCCCAGCAGTGCCACCCACCTGTGCCCACCAGTGCCACCCACCTGTGCCCACCAGTGCCACCCACCTGTGCCCACCCACCAGTGCTGCCCACCAGTGCCACCCACCAGTGCAGCCAGCAGTGCTGCCAGTCAGTGCCACCAGTCAGTGCCCAGGGGTTGTGCCAGTCAGTGCCGCCAGTCAGTGCCCAGAAGTGATGCCAGTCAGTGCCGTCTATCAGTACCCATCATCAGTGTCACCTATCAGTGCCGCCTATCAGTGCTGCATATCAGTGCCGCCTATCCGTGACCCCTAATTAGTGCTGTCTATCAGTGCCGCCTATCTGTGCCACCCTCATTAGTACTGCCTATCAGTGCCCTTTAGTGCTGCCTATCAGTGCCCATCAGTGCCGCCTATCAGTGCCCATCAGTGCCGCCTCATCAACGCAAATCAGTGAAGGAGAAAAAATACCTGTTTGAAAAATTTTATAAAAGATACAAATAACTTTTTTTTTTTTTTCAAATTTTTTGCACATTTTTAATTTATAGCGCAAAAAGTAAAGCGCCCCAGTGGCGATTAAATACCACCAAAAGAAAGCTCTATTTGTGAGAAAAAAATGATCAAAATTTCATATGGGTACAATGTTGCATGACCGCGCAATTGTCAATCAAAGTGCGGCAGCGCTGAAAGCTGAAAATTGGGCCTGGGTAAGGAAGGGGGGTTATAAGTGCCTGGTAGGCAAGTGGTTAAACAGTGCCAGTCTGTATCTGAATGGGCTCGATACGATCTTTTATTAAAACACATCCATCCAGATACAGTTCAGGTCGGTAGCGGCCTTGTATAGATATACATGAGCCTACACGCGGAGTTCGCACTGCCTGGCGCCTGGCCATACGAAGTCCATGTGGTACTATGCTGCTGATATGTGGATACAGGCCCGCGGCCTACTGCCGGCGACATTCGCATCGAATGCCGTGGTGGCATACACGCCAGTCTATAAGCGCAGATCTGCCATCTCATCCATTACTGAGCTGAGTACGGTAATATATACATTGTAAATGCGCATGGCCTAATTGCAGCCTTCAGAGCTTTAATTAAGCCACACGAGAGGCATATGAATAACACTAATATATGACACATTTAAAGGACAACCTGTAATAGAAAATTTCCATGACATTCCCTCCTGTTTTATCATATTCTCCTTGTGTCCCTTCTTGATCTTCTTCAGCTTGATGGGTGTAGTCTCAAAACCTTAAAGAGTTGGTCTTAGACCAGAGTTCCTGTAGTTGTCCCTGAGAATAAAGCTCCACGGGGTACCTGAAACAACAAGACTAGGCGCAAGAGCGTTGGAGCCTTCACTACAGGAAGGCTCTTGCAAAAACCACAAACAGAACTTTTTCAAACTGTTCCGGCAAATGGAACCGGGCTTGTGGTATAAAACAATGCTTGTGATCCCACGGTGGTCCGGGGAGATCAGCAGCAGATTCTCAAATTGCCCCTGCAAACGGGTCCACACAAGGCTGGTCTCGACCCAGACGGTTTTCCAAAAAGCGGAACAAACAAATCTTGCAGCTTTATACACAAACAACGATGAGGCTTGAAGCTTGCTTGGAGGTCTTGGAGAACATGGTCTTTAGGGAGATAAATTAAAGGGAAAGCCAGGACGTAAACCTGCAGAGAAGGTGGCTGGTTGGTGAGGTCTTCCTCCAATCAGTGGTTGGAGTGGGATCCCAGGAGCGCCATGGAGATGTGGTCGTCTGCCCGAGCTTGGCTTACACGGTTGATGAGGCAACAGGAACATCTCACCGCGGCATACAAGAGACAAAGGAAAAGAGAAGCATCAGGACATACACTCCCACTTCCTTCAACCAAGATCTGATGGAGAAAAGGAAATCTCCCAATCCTCCCAAACCCTTGAACGGATTCCAACCCTCACTAGCTGTAGCTCTAGCTTTTCCCTGTAGTTCACTAACTTTGTCCATATGGGCCTGGACCTTGTCATCGGTGTCTTCTATCCAGGTACAACAATCCTCTCCGATGAACTCACAGAAACCCCCTTTGGCGGCTAAAAGATAATCAAGGGCCATCTTCTCCTGAAGCACTAAAATTCCCATCTGCCATTGTTCTTGGGCAATTTTTTCTGACAGCCTCTACGGTTCGTTAAACATACTATCCACGATGACAGAAAAATTGTTCAGGCGCTTCATAAGTTCTATTCCCCAACCTGTCCATGAAGGAAACCAAGCCCATGCCTGGTCGCCCTCAGAGAACAGCTCCCTACGAACTCTCCCTGCCATCCCTACCTTCTTGTGAACCATCAACTCTTCATGATCCATTCCTACATAGGATGCGGGGACTAGCTTTTATGAGGGCACACGAACCTTTCGCGTTCTGGGGAAATGTTCTATAGGCTGCCGAACCACACAGAATATAGTACGGACTGGCAGAGCAGAGTAGGAGGAGTTCTTCGTTCGGCCTCTGGCACTGAGTAACAGTTGCACAGACTGGGGGATTGCTCCCTCAGTCTGCACATCACATCCGTCCTTCCAACAAACGTGTCTGGTCGGTCAGTGTGGTTACTCAGAAGGGAAGTCTGGTTAGTCAGATTGACAGTTATACCTCCCTCGCAGGTGGTAGTCCCAACAAACTTGTTACCATCAGCCAAAGCTGATGTTAAAGCACACCTGAAAGGCTGCCTAGCTGCCCAGTTACCCATAATGGACTGACGAGGGCCCTACAGGAGCTAGAGCTAATATTGGTACTGAAACTGATGTTACCTGCTAAAAATGTGTCATTAAGTTCTACAGAAAAATGTCTACGTGGGGGCTGACCAGGGGTCCCTTGCTTTTTCATGCCGACACGGATGTCATATAGGGCATGAACAGCGGCCATTGCGGACATGTGATGACTGGGTGGGGGCTTAGAGCATACCCAACAGTTGGTTTTGTTGGCTGCTCTGGCTAATCGCAGGTGCATTATAAATAAAAGGTTGGGGTATCTGCCGTCTTTTCCTCCGTTCACACACATGTAAGACATACAAACAAAAAAAGAAAAAGGAAAATGACACCCCTCATTCTCTGGTGTAGCTGAAAAGCTGCTTGCAGTGGCTTGCGTGCACCCAGTTGTCTCGTCCCTCGAGCTTGAGTGAGGTAGGTGTCGTCGTCAGCTGGACTTGGTATGGTCCGGTGAATCGTGGCTCGAGTCCGGTTCTTTGATGTTTCTTTAGGACGACCCAATCACCTGGCTCAATAGAAAGAACACCCGTTATTGCATTTGGATCCGGGAGCGATTCGCGAACCCGATGGTGTATCTTCTGCAGCTCCCGTTGCAGAGATTGCACGTTACCTGTAAGCTGTGAATGCAAAGACGACAACTGTTGAGGAAAGTACAAACCCTGTTTTGGGAGGTCCCCCCAAACAACACCTCGTAGGGTGACAGCCCATGTGGTTGCCGAGGGGCATTCGGATGGAATAGAGGGCAATGGGGAGACACTCGGGCCAAGGTTTTTGGGTATCGGCCATGATTTTGGAGATCCTGTTTTTAAGGATTCCGTTGAGACGTTCAACCTTACCGCTACTCTCGGGGTGATATGGGGTGTGTAGCCCTTGGTTGATGTGAAGGGCTTTACATACCTCTGCAAAGATCTGTCCAGTGAAGTGTGACCCCCTATCGGACTCGATGGTTTCAGGTAGACCCCAGCGGCACACAACCTCAGACAGGATTTTCTTCGCCGTGGTACTAGCGTTGGCACACGTAACGGGCCACGCCTCAGGCCAGCCTGAAAACATATCTACACAGACCAAGGCGTATTCGTATGGCCCACTCTTTGGTAACGAGATGTAATTGATCTGGATGCGTTGGAAGGGGCGCTCAGGTTTTGGTGAGTGCCTTTGAGGCATTACTACCGTTCTGCCAGGGTTGTGTAGGGCACAAACTAGGCAAGAAGCTGCAAATGTAGCTGCAGCAGTACTGAACCCAGGTGCAATCCAATGCTCGTCTACCAATGCACACATAGCCGTCTTAGATTGGTGCCCAGGGTAATGAGCCAAGTGGGCCATCATGGGGAAAAGGGACTTTGGCAAACACCATCTTTTGTTCAGGCACCAAATGTCATTCGACCCTTGGGAGGCTCCCGCTGCTGTCCATCTAGCCTTCTCCTGCAAACCCGCCTGCGATTGCAGCTTTTTAAACTCGTCTAATGAAACCTCTGAAGGAATGGCCAGCATCAGAAACCCCCTTTCCTGAACCAGTGCACCGGCCTTTGCGGACCGATCTGCCAAAGCGTTTCCCACATGCCTCCACACTAGTCTCAGTAGTATGAGCCTTCACCTTAAGAACAGCTATCTCCCGTGGCAGGCTGAAAGCAATGAACAACCTGTCAATCAGTTCTGTATGCTTCACTGGTTTACCTGAACTTGTGAGAAATCCCCTCACTTTCCAGATGGGACCAAAGTCATGTGCAATACCAAACGCATACCTCAAATCCGTATAAACATTAATCCTCTGACCTTCATGCAACTCACATGCCCTGGCCAGTGCCCACAGCTCAGCTTCCTGAGCTGATATATGTGCGTTCAAAGAGCCCTTTTCCACAACGTCACTTTCCGTTGTGACCGCGGTAACCAGTGTGTGGCTTACCGTCTTGGGTGTAGTACCTGGACCCATCGACAAAAAGATTTTTCGCTTCCGGTAGTGGCGCTTCCTTCACCGGGCTGATCGCCGCTGACTCCAGTTCCATCAAAGAAATGCAGTCGTGTCCTTTGGAAGAGAGGTTAGTAGTGGAAAAAGAAGACATGTTAGCAGAAGAGAGGTGTTAGTATTGTTAGTCGGGTTGCAAGATTTAGCACTGTCGTTGCTGTCCTCCCCCCCTTCTCGTCTTCCAACACAGGAAGAAGAGAAGCTGGGTTAAGAATAGTGCATCGTTTGATAGTGAGGTTAGTAGGGGTAGGAGGGCTACCTCGTATTTGGTCAATCTTGCTGCAGAGAGATGTTTAGTTTGGACCTTGTTGTCAGGGCTCCGGGTATGATGACCAGAGGTGTGTGGACTGACACAGGGAAACGCAGGCTTCAGATATAGTAAAAACAATATAATTTATTTAAGACTAAACAATACATAAACGCAGTGCAAGACTAGACATAAACACAGTGCAAACAAACCAAAACCCCCAACAGACAACAAAAAGAACAATACTAAGCGTAGTCGGACGGGCCGGGTCAGGAACAATCAGACAGACAAGGTACCAAAGGAGCAAACTGGAGAGTGGTCAGGAATAGCAGAGGTCAGGACAGGCGGAGTTCAATCAGAGTCAGGGATCAAGCAGGATCAGACAGGAAGCCGACAGGATGCAGGTACAGGGGCTCTTGGGAAAACATACACCAAGGCCCTGATTGCAAGTCTGGCCATTCCTTATATGCACCTCCTGCAATCAGCCTCAGATGTTTTGGCTGACTGCAGAAGTGAGCCTCTGGTTGCTGAGAGCACCCTCTGGCTAGTCCTGGTACTGCAACCCACAAGGCAGGTGAGTCCCACCACTATTGGCGAGTCCATTTCTGACAGTACCCCCCCCCCCCCAAGGAGCGGCCTCAGGACGCTCCAAACCGTCCTAAATGGGCAAAATGTTCCACCGCCCGGATCCGGTAATTGGCAGGATATCAAGGACTGGTACATCAGGCTGGCTGGGCACCGGGCAGAGGCACATCAGGCTGGGCACCGGGCAGAGGCACATCAGGCTGGGCACCGGGCAGAGGCACATCAGGCTGGGCACCGGGCAGAGGCACATCAGGCTGGGCGTCGAGCCATCTGGCAAGACCGCGGGTGCCAAGCCATCTGGCAAGACCGCGGGCGCGGAGTCATCTGGCAAGACAGCGGGCACCGGGTGAACTGGCAAGACAGCGGGCATCGGGTCGTCAAGCAAGACAGCGGGCATCGGGTCGTCAAGCAAGACAGCGGGCATCGGGTCGTCAAGCAAGACAGCGGGCATTGGGTCGTCTGGCATCAGGGTATCAGGCTGAATTGCGGGTGCCGGGGCACCAGGCTGAACCATGGAAGGTGGGTTCAATGACGGCAGGCTGACCAGTTTGGATACTGGCAGGATGGTACTGGTTGCAAAGAATTTTCGCTTTTTCCTGGTTTTAGTTACTGGAGCACAGGAAGTAAGCGCAGGTTTGTAAGTGGATAGAGCAGCTGTAGGCAGAGAAGAGCTGGGGGATGGAACAAAGGAGGGAGCAGTTGCTACAGAGGACTTCTTTACAGGGTTAAAGAAAGGATAGGTGCAGCGAGTGGGAGCAGGTGACTGATATGTGGTAGTTAGCAGAGTATACTGGGCAATCACTGGGGGTGCTGTCGGGGATGCAGGAAGAGTGCCTTGAGCAGAGGAATGA